CTCTGGAGACCAGGCTGCCCTCGAACTTACAGAGATCCGCCTACCTCTGCCTCCCGAGTGCTGGGATTAAAGGCGTGCGCCACCAACACCCGGCCAGATTGAGTTCTTAAAAAGCAACTCTTTATCTTGCTTATTTTGGTTTGAGAAAACAAAAAAACTAGATAAAGTATAAGAGGAAGCACCAGTAATTAGAGTTCACCTGACATAACTATGTGGGATTTCTATTATTAAATGGAAGCTAGAAGAGAACTAGAATTTTTGTTTGTTTGGTTGGTTTTGCTTTTGTTTTTCAAGACAGGATCTCACTGTGTAGCCCTGTCTGTCCTAGAATTCACTATATGGGCTAGCCTGGCTCTACGTCATAGAGATCCACCTACCTCTGCCTCCCTAGTATGGAAACTAAAGGTATGTGCTACTGCACCCTGTGAGAATTCCTATTTTTAAGATCCCGAAGGAACTGGCACTCTTCACCCAGTAGATTACATTAAATCAATCCTACTTGTTTCTCTGAGGAAAGGAATGGCACAGTGGAAGTCACACAGCTGAGGGCATTGATGTCTACCCATTTCCGCCCAGTGCTAAGATCACAGGTTTGGGGCTTGATGCCTTGTGCAGAGGTCCATAACTAAGGCCCCTGAGGCAGCTGGCCACCTATTTTTGGATTATATATAATCTAAAAATGGTTTTGCATATTTACTTATTCAAAATAATATTGTGATGTATAAAATTTAAATTGCATGACATTCAAATTGCAGTGTCCATCCCTACTCAGCCCATGCTCGTCACTTATTAGCACTATTGGTGGCTGCTTTCTACGATAGCTCACTTAAGTGTCAGTGCTCAAGATGATCTGGTTCTGAAGTATGAAATATTTACTCTGGCCTTTCATAGTAATCGCTCTCCTGGCTAGGCATGGTAGCACATGCCTGTAATTCCAGCTTAAGCAGGGGAATTAGGAGTTTACGGTCAGCTTGGCCAATGTAGAGTTATAGGCCAGTCTGGGATACATAGGAACTTCGTGGAGGGAAACAAACAAACAAATACATAAAGTTAATTATTTAATTTCTGATCTAAGTAATGTAGGAATAATTAGATATATTTCTGATCTAAGCAATGTAGAAAAGTCAATTTAATAACAATTTAAAAGGCAAAAAAAGGAGTTTTTGATAGTTGAGTTATGGAGTTTTTTAATGAATGAACTGCTTTTAAACCCTGGTTAAGTTTTTATTAATTTCTTTTCTTTTATGTATGTGAGTATTTCTGCCTGTGTGTATATCTGTGTACCACAGGTATGCCTGCTACTCATGTTAGTCAGAAGACGGCTTCAGATCCCTTGGAACTGAAGTTACTGATGGTTGCAAGCCACCACATGGGTTCTGGGATCCTAAGCTGGGTCCTCTGCAAGAGCAGCAAGTGCTCCTAACCACTGAGCCATCTCTCCAGCCCTGTCTGGTTAGGTTTTTAAAGGGCAGGCCAGGCAGCATGGACATTGTCCACTACACATGCCTGTATTACTTTGGTGGCAGTGGGTGGCAGTGGGTCCAGCAATAGCAGCAGCATTATATATTCTCAGCTGTCCTTTCCCCCGGTGGTTTTATGCATTGTAGATGGTTAAGGAAAAGCCAGTATGGGTGTTCAGACGTGCATTAAACATGTTGGAATATAAAACATGGATTTGAAGAGCTTCCAATGACTAGTCACTCAAAGTACTTAAGCACAGATTTAAAATGTAGGTTGACCTCTTTGTTCTTATTGAGTCAATAAACAAGGACACAAAGGAGACCCATCATAAAGAATTCTCGGGGATTTTCCTACTTTCCTAGAAAGATATGAAATTCCTAGTGCTCAGGACAATAATAAACAACAAAAACCCAAACCCAAAAATGGAGGGGGTAGGGATAAGTTAGAAAGATACATGTTTCTTGTCCTGCAGACACTGTGACCAGAGTTCAAGTTAAAAAAAACCCCTGTTGAAAATGCAGGTGTTAGTGATACACACTTGCCATCCTAACTCTGGGAAGATGGAGATGTGTAGATGCTTGGGGTTTTCTAGCCAGCCAGCCTAGTCTACTTGGAGAGTTCTAGGTCAAAGAGAGACTCGGTCTGATAAAAGAGGAGGGACACACCTGAGGTTATCCTGTGGCCTACACACACACACACACACACACACACACACACACACACCACACCCCCACCCCCATGCATGTACACGTGCACACAAACATGTATCCACAACCACACGAAGATGCATATACTTGAACAAAACTGAGATACTTTTTCAAAAATTAGGATTGGCCACTAGTTGTGTCTCAAACAGAAAACCCAAGTACAAGTCATGTAAGGATGTTTATACATTTGCTAAAGCTGGAAGAATTAATCTAAGATCCAATTCCAATTTGATTAAATCAATCTCTAGATGAACAGAGACAGCTGTTGCACATCTACAGATCTGATTATATTCCCACAGGGATTAGAATCTTACATATAGAAGAGAGAAAGGGAAGAGTGCTAAACTGGTATGAAATTAAAGCTTGGAATCTTATCCTAGAACCTAAATGAATGACATTCTGGAACATAAAAGAAACTAACTTCTCTAACTTCATGTGCCTCTGAGGAAAAATAGTTATTTCTGAACTCAAAAGTAATTATACTTTTGACATTCTTATTTTAAAAAGAAGTTACAAAAATGACAATGAAAACCTAACTGTATTTTTATCTACCTGCCCGTTTCAGACGAAAGTAGGTGGGACGAACCACAGTGGTGGCAGTTTCGAGGAGGTCCTGAACTCCACAGCACATGCCAGCTCCCAGAATGCTGCAGGAGGCCCCCGGCAGACCACAGATGAGGAGCTGCAGTGCTAGGTCCAGTCAGCCTGGGCTGCTGGCAGCAAATCTGCTTGCTCATTTCCTGATACAAAGACCAAAATCCCACTGGGAAACCAAGTTTTGATATTGTTATTCAAATGGCCTCTCCCCAAAGTTTAATAAAATGATTTCCATTTGTGTTTGTGTTGATGACAGACCACTTGACCCTCACACTGCAGTATTCACAACTGTCACCTTTTAAAATGGCCAACTGGATTGGGTTCATAATTGGTCATAATTCTTGTCTGTGTAACTCAATGTGTATCTCCCAAACACGCAGCTACTATTAGCTTTGCTTTTTGCTTGGTCTCCACAACAGTGTGCATGCCTTTGAAGGCTGAGTGATGCGCTTGCTGTCAGTTTGAAGGTCAATAGGTGGCACTCTTTGAGACTGTCTCCAGCAGTCGGCCAAGTTACTACAAACTTCACCAAACTGCTTGTGACCTCTCTGGCCTCCATCAATTATGTACATTTAAGTCATTAAAACAATCAATTTTAATGATGACTGGAACTTTGATTTCTTTAGTTTACTGGGGCTACTGATGACTTAAAGTCAGTAGCAATGATTCTATAGGGGCAGGATAGACAAGTAAGACCAGTTGTCATCTAAGAATGCTGCAATCGTCACTGACTCTCAAATTTCTCCAATCCACCTAGGACAGTAGCTACTCAGGTAAGAGTATCTTAGAAGAGAACCACAGGAGAAGCTGGCTTAGAACAAATGTTCAGTTTACATGTTGTTCACATGTATGAAAATACACCAGTGCCCTGCAAACACTTTTACCTTTAACATTATATACTCTCTCTTCTTCACAATGGGATTCTGTTGGTTGTTTGGTAGTGGGGATGTAATCTATGGCACATTTGTAAAAATACACCAAAATCGGTCTATTAACTAAGATGGTTCACAATTTTAAAAACCCACACAATGGCCTGGAGATGCAACTCGACTGGTAGAGGGCTTGTCTACTAAACACAGAGTGCTGGGTTTGAATCCCCAGCAAGGAATAAGGTAGGTGTTGTGATCCTCACCTGTCGTCCCAGTACTCAGGAGGTGAAGACAGGAGACCTAATAGTTCCAGGGCATCTTCAGCTCTAGAATGAGTTCAAGAACTTGAAAAACTTCTGTTCAAGTTGGTGTAGCATGACAATCTATCCAGACCCATACATCTAACTGAAAATAAAGCTGGTTCATGGTCACATGACCTGTGAGGCCCAACACATTAGCACAGGGAACTGGGCTGTATACTTGATCCACAGTGGGCAGGTTAGACACAACACGTCTAGCAGGGGGTTCTGGCATACTTTGGCAAAAAGCCAACACTGTCTAGCTGGTATGAAGGCAGCACCAGTTCCCCAGCCGTAGTATGGTGGACACTTTTGTTTTTCACACTCAATTTCCAGTTGCCAATGGATTCCAAGTGGTCAGCTTCTGTGAACTCTCTGCTATCTTTTGAGAACCACACTCAGTACACTGAACTGTATCAGGGAGAGCACTGCCTGGTACTGTAAATGAAATCTTTATCCACCAACTTCTGTCTTACAGTTGTTTGAGCCTTACAATCTAAAAACACAGTATCCAAGTTGCATAGAAAAATATCCAAGAAAAATAATCTATTAATATCTCAAAGTTTCTAATACACTGATCAAAGCTTTTAATGTGGTCATCAAAATTCTGTTAATCAATTTTGTTAATAAACTATATTTGCTCCAGAACTCAGGAAGTGGAGGCAGAAGGATGGGTTATTCAAGGTCATCTTTGCCCGACTTTGTGAGTTTTATGGTCAACTTAGGCTACCTAAGAACAAGACTCAAAAAAAAATAATCATTTCTCTATGCTCATATTTATAACAACTCTATTAAGTCAAGGGTGCTTAATCCTTCTGACCCCATAGTGAAAATTCCCAATGCAGGGAAATGACCTTGCACACTGTCATGCCTGTGAGCAGGTCACAGCACTCTGATGAGAATAATCACACCAGACACTTGTAGGTGGGCTGTCTCAGAGAGATGAGATGGAGCCCAGCCTCAAGAGCTCCCTGCTTCCTGAGCCTTCTCAGTTAGGATTGGCCTGTTTCTACTGGCTTTGCATGTGCAAGCTCATCCCCATCTAGAAGTCTTCTGTTTCAGTGATGCCCAGCTGTGCTCACCCATATGCATTCAAGTCTTCTACCAGAACTAAAGATTTGTCTGCAAAGACAGAACCTTTTACTAACAAATCAAATGATTCCAAGTCAAGTGGTGCCCAAGGAAGAATAACTAAACAAAATGTGTATTTCAGTCACCACAAATTCTGTGTGTGAAGGCTGGCAGTGGTGTGGGCACAGGTGCTACACTGAGTGGTCATATAGGGGGTCAGAGGCACTTGTTGGAGTTGGTTATCTCCTTCCACCATGGGATTGAACTCAGGTCTTCAGGCTTAGCAGCAGGCTCCTTTACCCACCGAGCTATCTTACTACCCCCTTCATTAGTCCTTTCAATTCATATGGTATAGGGTTTAGTTTATATCAAGTCAAACCAAAACTAACCACAAATGCCTGGGGCTGAATTCTTCATAAGGAAAATGGGTGTATTTTATCTCCTAATTTTGGACGTTCATGAACATTTCTTTGGCTCTGGTGATGGCCTCATAGCTGAGAGCAGAAGCAATCACATGATGATCACATGGTGACCCAAGAAATGAGAGAATCAGGAGCCAGTTTTTTTTTTCTTTTTATAATAACTTCTTGAAAAACAACTCACTCCACAAGACCAGCATTGATACTACTCAAGAGCAATGCTCTCATGACATACTTTGCATTAAGTCCCAAACCTAAAGGTCACACATCTTATTGAACCCAGGTTTCTAGAAACTGAGCCTGGGCACACAAACCACATCCAATCCAGGTTTCTAGATCCTGAACCTCAACACACACACACACACACACACACACACACACACACACACACACACACACCATATCCAACCCAGGCTCCCAGCACATGAACCAGGATATACACATACCATATCTTACCCAGGCTCCTATCATTTGATCCCAGACAACCATACTTTATCCAACCCAGGCTCCTAGCACTTGAACCTGGACACATGCGTCATACCCACCTGCAGCAGCAAGTCTCCCTTAAAGACCAGAGCTCCCCACTTTTAAACTGTGAGATTATATACATAAAAATACTGAATCCAACAGCCGTCTCTTTACAATCCACTTGAGCAGTCACTCACCCACAGCACATATCATCCTCAGGCTTTTGAGACAGACTGACATTTCCCAACACAAGCGCACAGAGAATTATGTCACAGTTGGAAAACATGCCAAGGCACAAGGAAAACAAGTGACCAAAAATTTTTTTTTAATTCAACCTAAGAATAATTATTTACTTTGCATCATAATTGCAGGACTTTTTATTCAGAAGACCAATCTGGGCAAGCAGAAAGAGCTTCCCAAGGAAAAGCAAAAATGTTCCAATATTTGTAGACACTACTGATGGATTCAACATCTTTCCTTCTTGAGCTTCAGTGTGTGTGTGTGTTTAAGATTTTAATCATAGTCCCATTACACTTATTTTTCAGAAATAAAGGTTAGGCAAAGTCTCATTGTGAACTCACTGACCACTTGGTAGGAAAATGCTAAACTGAGATAATGATGTAAACTGTATGGGGTGAGCCAGCAAAGGCTTCCAAAACTTCCAAACTGCCCCCACTTCACGAGAAACTGCAGCAGGCAGAACACTGAAAATCAAAGCCCTGCTCCATGAAAAGGCATTCTTGAACTGTACCTGGGGTTATTTTGCGTAAATTTCCAAACCTATAAACAGAAAAGGCTCCAAAATACTAATTGATTTGCCTACCAATCAGACCTTCAGAGACAGTGTTTTCATAGTCTTTACCTTCAACTTGGTAAATATATATACACATGTGTTGCTTTTTCAGAAATCATGTATCTTGCTTCCTGCAGACTGGGTATCCATGGATACTACAAAGAATTTCCAGAGAAACGCTGCATAGAATGTTCCATACCACCTCAAAAGCCTCCTTCCATTAGAAGGTGATGTTTCTATTAAAGGGTCAGGCCTCTTTGCTCATGCTGGATTACCAGGTAGGCTTGCATGGACGTCCATTTTTTCCTCACTTTTTGATGGAGTATACAACTAAAGACATGTGGAAGGGATTATTATTCCCATCAAAGAGAAATAAAAAGGAAACATAATGTTGACAGATACCTACTTTTGGTGCAATGACTCCAGCAGCACCCTTTATCACCCATTCATAATTGTTATAACCAAGATAATAAATCATAAAGAAAAAAGGAAAGGGGAGGACACGTGGCACTGGAAATATTATGCCCTAATTTACATCCTCAGATGATAACACACTGGGAAGGACAACAGACCTGTTAGCAGCCTTGGAAATCTACAGTCAGGGCCCGGAAGCACCACACAGTAAAATTAAACACCTGGCTCAAGCTGGGTGTGGAGCCACATGCCTGTTAACGGTCTAGTATTTGGAAAAAGGGGGACCTAAGAGGGCCTAGACCAGCCAGAGTGAAAGCTTCTCTCAAACAGCAACAGAATATGACCGTAGGGGAAGAACATCTCCCCTCACCCCTGGGTGAGGCTAACATGCACAGTAGAATTCACTGCTGCACCCAAAGATGAAGTATCTGTTCCTAAGTCATTACACTTAAATGTTCTACCTTCCAATGAATCTTCTCTTCAAGAATATAGGCTAATTAGCCCAAATAAGGTAACTTAGGACAGACAAAACAGAAGCCAAAGTTTGCAGTGTTAAATATTTACTTAATTCACAAAATAAGCATTCTCCTCCATGGCTTCTTCCTGACCACTTCCAGTTTGGTGGCTTCTTTTGGGGCCTGGATTATATCACATTTCTTGTTCAAGTCCAGACAGTGGAAAATAAAACTCTCATCTTGGGAAATCCTCAGACCAACAGTAGAAAACACATTCCAATGAAGCAGAGAAGAAAACAGTACAGCAGGACCGAAAGGCGCATGCTGTGCTCAGGAGCCCGGCTCTGCGGAAGCTGTGGCTATGCTGGCATTTCTCTCTGCCTCCAGTTCACAAACAAGCTGGAGTATCTCAGGGTGACTGAATTTTCCTGGAGGGGAAAAAGACATTTCTAGATTGACAAGAGAAGACATCCATTTCTTCAATATGCCCTCATGGTTATCAGGGGCTTTCTTCTGTGCGCTTGGCCATACCTCAAAGCCAGAGATCCTGGCACCCAGGAAAGGGTGAAGGACTTACTTTCGCCAGGGTACAAGATGAGAATCAGGTAGAGAATCATCAATAAGGCAGGACTAGAGGAAACAACATCGTGAAGCCCCTGACTGCATCTCCCAGGGACCATAGGGGAAGCTTGGGAGTGGGAGCTCACAGGGCAGTCCCATCTTTTTCTTCCAAAACTTAAATGAAGTAAGGGGATCCAGTACCTACATAGAAAATGGCCTGCTGGGTGGTGCTAATACACACTTTTAATTCCAGCACTCAGGAGGCAGAGGATCTCTGAATCCAGTATGTTCTACAGAGCAGAGTTCCAGGGAAGAAAGGAAGGAAGGAAGGAAGGAAGGAAGGAAGGAAGGAAGGAAGGAAGGAAGGAAGGAAGGGTCTGCAGGAAGACTAGGTATAAAGACTATAAATGTCCCTCTGGTTAACATCTCAAGTAGCTGATGTCCACCGTTGTCCCTGCTCCTCAACCCTCCCCAGGATTTTGCTCTGGGCAGTAACCACACCCTCATCCATTATAAATCATGACAGATACTTAGTATAGATGGCCAGCTAACAAGTCACTACCCTGCACTGCTTTGGTTCCAAAGCCATTTCTCATCTCCCACCCTCCATTTGTCACCCCTCAGTCACCGACTCTCCTGTTCCCCAAAGCACAAGGGTTCAGAAAGCAAGGACAGAAAAAGAACACAGAGCTGCCATGTGAATTAGAGAAAACAAAACAAAACAAAAAACAAAAACAAAGCTAGAGCCTGAGGACCCCTTCAAAACTGCTGTAATGCAGCTGGTGTAATGACTCAGCAGGTCACGGGACTTGTTGCCAAGTCTGTCAACCTGAGATTCACTTTTGAACCCACATGGTGGAAGGGGAGAGCCAACTCCCAAAAGCTGTCCTTTAACTTCCACATATGTGCTATGGCATGTCCCCATCTGCTATGAAATAAATAAATGTAATAAAAAATTTAAATGATAATAGACACAGTTTACATGTTTCCTCGTGCTTCTTTGACGAAACCTTTTCTTTGTTAATCATTTTTAATTTTTTTAAAGTGAAAATGTAATTATATCATTTCCCCTTCCCTTTCTTTCCTCCAGCCCTTCCCACATACTTGGCTTGCTAGCCCTGTCTTCATCTTGGTTCTCACATACCTGTACTTAGGAATGAGTCCTTTCCCTACACATCTGTCGCTGAGATAAGGAGAAGCCATTTCTCCAATGGGTCATGATATTGACTTACTAACTTTTTAATGGAAGCAATGAGCTGAAGTGCAATTGCGGTGAATCTTAACTTCAGCTCGGCTGTTGCAAGTCATAGTCTTTCTGGGCTTCAGCTGCTTTCTCAGCAAAACAAAGGCTTTGAACTAGACAACTCTTTACTCACTATTTTTTTTATTCTGCTCATATTTCAGTTTCTATTTTTCTACTGCAAATATATTACAAAGGAAGATAACTGTGAAGTGCAAAGATGGCACAAACATGGCCTATATTTTAAATTATGGGTGGCATATGCTACTTGAAACCCAACTGTCACTGAAAACATGGGCCAGCAATCCATGAAAGTAAAAATGCCAGCTAGGAAACATCCCAGGCTCTGTGGCTTCTGTTAGAAGCACTTGGTCCTACTGCTATAATACTGTGAAAAGAGACTCAGACAATATGTAAGGAAGGGGTAGAGACTCCAAGAGGGGGAGTTACAAGTGTGTGTCCATGGAGGAGAAGGCGAACAGCTGTACTCCAGCATATACCTACCATGCAGAGCAATGGGGCCCAGCAGCCACAAACTAAAACTATGAGCCAAAAGAAACCTTCCTCATTGTAAGTTGGTCATCTCAGGTGTTTTGTTATGATAACTGAAGCTAACAAAAGGAGAGAGCCAGAGGGAGACTACCGGTTGTAGCAAACCGAGACCAATGGAGACTAAGCAAAAAAGGAACAATAAATTCTCACAGAGATTAGGAAAGGACACCAGAAACACAGGTTAACAGTGGGTCCTGGGACTTTTTAGGTCAGTCAAAAGTGGCAGGATTTTAGAAAGAGGAAAGCCGTGTGTTCTTAAAATAAAGATATCAGCCTAAGGGCGTAGCTCATGCACAAGGCCCCAAGTTTGATCCCCACTCCCCTTCTCCCTGCCCACCCTCCACAAGATGAGCTGATGCCTGTATGTACAAGGGAGGTCGCAGTAACAGTCCAGTGTAAACTGAGAGCCCTGTCTAGAGCAGAGAAAATGCAGCTGGAAAAGCAGAAAAAAGCAGCTTGCAACAGCTTCAGTCCCATGCAAGCAGTATTTTGCTATATTAATACTGTGAGCCAGGAGTGTTCATGGGTTTGGTAAGGCCCACACAAGGGTCCTGGCAGGTCAGAGAAAGGCCAGTCCTTGCAGCCCTCTGGGGGAAATAGAGACTTGAATGATCTTACAGGGCTCCCAGGAAATGGGAGGGAAGGAATATTTGAGGAAGCCATAGAACATCAATCTCTAACAGTGGGTGTGGCTCCTTGCTCTGACAAAGTAGGCGTGGCTGCTTGCTTTGTAAACCATCAAAATAAAGACAACTGACAGTGCAGGTGCACCCTAAGCAGATCACATGGATTCTTCCTGTATCCTTACACAGTCCTGTAATATAGGGCCTATTAATGTCCCCTTCTATATTGGATGATGGGATCTGGGGCCTTACACCTGCCAGGCAAGTGCTCTACTACTGAACTATATCCCTGGTTCTTGTTTTTGAAAGTAGAGTCTTACTATTTAGCTGAGCCTATCCTCAAACTCAACCCTTCTGCAGCTACCTCCTGAGTGCTAGGATTACAAGCATGTACAACACCAGGCTTTAGTACCTCCATCAAAGAAAAGGAAACAAAGACACAGACAGCCGAAGCGGTTTATTAGAGATTTACAGTTATATGTGGCATAAGCAGGACTCAAACCCATGCTTCATGAGTCCAGGGTCGTGCTATGAGGTGCTATAATGATGGTGACATCCACCTGGTGGGAGGATGTGAAAGCCCTATTTTAAGTCACTCACTATTTCTACCCCAACTGTTCAACTCTATAACTTTAACAGATCAGAGCCCTTTCACATGCTTTATCCCCCTCTGAAAAGCAATTTTGGACTTAAGAAAGGAATTTCGGTTCCCATTTTTGAGATGAGGCATAGGCTCTGAGACATCAAAAGACCACCAGCTGGCAGGTGGCAGAAGCAGAATGTGAACATGGTGCACGGACGTCAAAGTGCAGTGTCCCTAAGTGCCAATGGCATCACAACCAGCTATCCCGCCATTACCATTTTCTTTCCAGATGTTCTACATGAAAGGTCAGAAGAGGGAATCAACACGGCCATCAGTCCTCACACTAAGATTAAGTCTACCTAAAGCAAGCAAGCAAAAATGCTTATGAGCATGAGTACCTGCTGTGGAATCATAGAAGTCTTGAAGTCTCCCGGGTTTATTCTCCATGTCTTCATATTCCGAGGCCTGAAGAATCATTTCACACTGGTCCAGCTGCTTCACGAATCTGGCTTCTGCACTAGACTGGGTCTCATACTCCTAAGGAAAGTGACATACATGTAAAAGGTATGATTAAGCTGCCTCATTGGGGCTTCTAGGGGGTTTCCTATTTGGGTACCTGGAGTCAGAGTCATAGCACAGGGAATAAATATTCAGTACCAACTACATTTCTCCACTGTACACAGATGAGACATTTGACTTCAGGGTACTGTTTAGCACTAGGACCCCATGCAAGATAAACACTCCACAGATACTACTCAATGTACTGGAAGTCTCTAAGATGAACACATTTGAGACACTTCCAAATTCTTCTCTTCCTGTCTTGGTTTCAAGATGAACATTCTTTAAAAAAAAATGTATGTATGTGTATGTCCATGTGTGTGCAGATGAACATGTTTGTAATTGCTGTCCATTTGTTTCAGACAAGACAGGAGCTCTCATTAGCCTGTGGTTTTCTGTGTAGGCTAGAAGGTCATTGAGACCCAGGGATCTGTCTGTCTCTGCCTCCATGGACTTGAGACTGCAAGCATACCCTTCTATACTTGCTTTCAGTCTGCCTGTCTGCCTCCCCCATCCCTGCCTCCCCTCCTTTTCTCTAACATATCTTCTGGGGGCCAAACTCAAGTCCTCATGCTTGCAAAGCAAGCCCTAAGACCAGACCATTTGGTCCACTTGAGTTGAATAAACTAGATCTAGTTAATTTCAGGATTTTTTTTTTTAACTTGTACTTCTCAAAATTTACATTCTCTCTTCATTTCAACTCAGACTGCTTTTTCCTCTAGGCTAATTAATACCTTCACTAGTAACTTTTCATTACAGGTTTACCTGGGAATCTTTGTTCTACAGTAATTAGTTAAGTCCCTAAGTCCCTCTGGGGACATTAGCAAGAATCTATGAATTTTACACACTGCTTGTCTGTGTTTGTGGCAGGAGATGGTTAATGCGGTGGGAGGGGAGAAGCATTTTTTTTTTAACCTTTTCTGTTCCCACTGCCCCCACCCTCCTGAGTGAAATGGGGAGTTCCAGGGGGCTTTCTTCTCAGAGCAGAACACATCACCTGCCACAAGTTCCAACTAATGATGCACAGGACCATTTTTCTATTAAGAGCAAAGTATTCCCAAAAGGCTTCCCAAGAATCCTCATTTGTAATTCCACCCAGACATGTTCAGATAATAATCCTGTCATGCTTTCTTAGCAGTGAGATATGATACAAATCACTGAAAGGTTTCTTGGGTTGTATTTGAAGCCTTATTCTTATAAAGGCAGCCATTTGAATTTGGTAAGAACTGAATTTTACACAGGGGAATCATTTAAACATGAAGCCCCGTATATTTTGCTTTATCTCAAAGGCACTTAAAAAAAAAACCTACATTTTATTTGTGCTCATTCATACTCATAGTTATATGTAGTTATATTAAATAAATTCAAGTTCACGATTTAGCCAAAGGAAACTGAATATGTCAAGCAAACCAATCTAGAATTTCTTTTCTGCTCATAGTAAAAAAAAAGTTTTTATGAGTGTTGGGAAATACAGTATATTGTTGTGCTGGCCAGTCCTTGTCAAACATGATACAAAACTAGGGCCATCTGAGAAGAGGGACTCTGGATTGAATTAAGTCCATCAGAATGGCCTGTGGGCATGTCTGTGGGGACATTTTCTTTATTAATGATTGGCTGAGAGGGCTCAGTCCCACTGAGGGTAGTGCCATCCCTGGGCAGATGGTCCTGGGATGCAGAAGAAAGCAGACCAAGCAAGCCAGTAAGAGTGCTCCTCTGGGTTCCTGCCTCTGCCCTCACTTCGGTTATTACCCTGACTTCTCTCAGTGCTGAACTATTGCTGAAACCTGTGGGCCAAATAAACCCTGTTTTCCCCGAGTTGCTTTTGCTCGTGGTGTTTATCACAGAAACAGAAAGCAAACTAATGCAACTGATCACACAGAGAATTCTAATGAATTTACAGAATACATTAAAAGGTGTGCAATTTGTTGTCTTTTCCCCTTAAACAATTCATTGTAAAGGTATTCTCCAATTTTATCCTTCAGCAAAAAAGCCTGGGGTCCTTGAGATGCCTCAGTAATGGTGCTTGCCACCAAGCCTGATGACATGAATTTGATCACGGGAACACAAATGGTTAGAAAGAATGAACCAATAACCATAAGTTGTTCTCTGACCTTCACACATGTGCTATGTCATGCATGCGTGTACACACATGCACATGAACAAAAAATAAATTTATTATTCTTTTTTAAAAGTCAGGATTGAACAAAGAACACTACAAGGTGAGAAATGTCCTGCCATTCAAAGAATTGCTGAGAGTGGTTTCTTCTTCTTTTTTTAAATTTTTTTTTTTTTAATTAGAAACAAGATTGTTTTACAAGTCAATCCCAGTTCCCACTCCCTCCCCTCCTCCCCAACCAGCCCCCCCAACTAAAACCCTACCTATCACATATCCTTTCTGCTCCCCAGGGAGGGTAAGGGTCATCAGAGTCTATCGTATCCTTTGGGATAGGGCCTAGGCCCACCCCCATATGTCTTGGCTCAGGGAGTATTCCTTTTTGTGGATTGGGCTCCCAAAGTCCACACCTATGCTAGGGATAAGTACTGAATTACTACAGGAGGTCCTAAGGATTTCTGAGGTCTCCTCACTGAAACCCACATTCCTGGGGTCTGGATCAGAACTGGAATCCAGTTGCAGAGAACGAGTGATGGGCAAAGGGGTCCAGACCAGGCTGGTGAAACCCACAGAAACAGCTGACCTGAACAACAGTGAGCTCTTGGTCCCCAGACTGATAGCTGGGATACTCATAGCTGGGAGAGTGGTTTCTAACATCAGTCCTGAGAGTGACAGGATAGAAGGGGAAACATAAAAGGCTTATTAATGAAGGGAAGTAGAGAAACGTGGCAAACAAGGGGATCTTCTTCAAAAAATGTCACACAAACATGTACAAGCTCATACAAAGCTAAAAAAAAGTCCCCACCTATATAGCCTCTGCTTCCTAGTTAAAAACAAACACACAAAGACAGAAAAGATGATCTGCTATAAGGTGAGGAGAGAGGCAGCAAGACAGGTGCTTGAAGGGAGCAAAGGACACTCAGAGACGACAGGGAAGTGCCTGAGTCCAGGGATGTGGCACTACGGTGGGAAGGGACCCCACACCGCACTCTGCCACCTGCAGGTGTGACTGGAAAAGGCCAATCACCAAATGACTCAGGCTAGGGTTTCCCAAGCAGCAGGACTAGAAGGCAGCCCTAGGTCCTGAGAGCAGAGGAGGAGGGGAGCAAAGTCCGGAACGTTGGCCCTGAGGGAGGATGTGCTCTCAGTGAAGTCTGCCTTTCATAGCCTCCTGGTGGAGCCTCACATTGCTCTACTCTACTCTGAGATAGATGGCTTGGTAACCCAACTGCATCTCCAATTGACTGACATCTGACGTACTGGGAGAAAAATTTCAGGCAGAAAAGAATCCTAGATGGGCAATTAGGCATTTAGCATGGAGCGCTGGCTCCACGGAATCCAAGGCTAGTCTCTAAAACATAATGCAGGTGGTGGTGGATGCTCATCTCTGATGCTCTCACAACACAGTGTAACCACAATAACAGCTCTCCGTGGTGCTTTTGGACACAAACAAAACATAATTTCACTTTTATGGTGAAAGACAAATTACAATCCAGGAATGTCTAACCCCCTTAAACCTCTAGCCTGGCAGGTGTTTTTGACACTGAACAGCTGTGGTGACCACACTTCAAATATCCACCAGCTGGTATTTTCTATGCAGCTAGTATTACCCTAAGTTCTCTAGGTACCAATTTCCTAAACCAATATCAACTGTCATCCTTCAGGTGTCATTTGCCTTGTTTTAAGAGTGTCATTCACATGTTTTAAGAATTAGAAATGGGGGCTGGGTAGATGGCTCAGTCAGTAAAACACTTATCTTGCAAGCAAGAGGACCTAAGTTCAACTCCAGAACCCAGGTGAAAAAGCTAGCTAGGGAGTACATGTGTGTAATCCCAGGGTAAAGGCAGCAGAGAGATATGGGAACCACTAGAGTTCAGTGGCTAGGGAGAGACCCTGTCTCAAAACAAAGGTGGAGGACACCCAAGGAATGACAAGTGAGGTGGACCTCTGGCCTCCACACTCACACATAAACACAAGTGAACAACACGTGAACATGAATGCAAACACATAAAGAATTATGGCTGGGTACATAGCTATGGACAAAGCAGCTGGAAATACAAGCACTGTGTACCAAGAGGTGTACAGGCACTGTGGTGCTAAGAGAAGTAGAGACAATGACAAAGAAAAGTTTCTATCAGCACAGAGGCATTTCTGTAGCAGCTGGGATACAAAACAACAGTAAATTAGGCAGAGACTATTAATATAACCTATGAAACTAAAGCATGGATAAGCCATGTAAGTCAGTATATACCAACCCAGTATGTATACTCACTTCCCAGAGTTCATATAGCTCCTTCCCAAGGTCCTCTGGCAGCAGCTGGGTTATCTGCTTCATAGCCTCCTGAAATTCGAAACCATCAATTCCATTACATTCACCTTCATCTAAGTCAATATCTAGTCTATAAAAGCCAAAAAAGGCTCAGATCCTTTAGAGTAATTCCCAGTATTCTACTTATTCTAAGCTGGCCTTTACAGGTTTTTTTTTTAAGTATTATATTCATTTCCTATTATTTTCATTATTGTAAAAACTTAAAATCATCACATGGAAAGTTAATCATTGTCATCCACACAACAGAAGTTATAGTTTTTGAGGTTCACAAATTCCCAGGATGCACTGCTGAACACTGTCCTCCTTATGACTTCAAGAGGCTGAACATCTGAAAGCACCGTCCTATCCTCTGATTATCACACATAGTATCAAGCAGCAGGACAACAACCAATGGGGTCAGAGTGACTGTATCCCCAGCAACCACTTGAGGAGATATCCTTGCAAATCATGTGTGATCACTCTGGGGCCTTTCCATGTTGTGTCCAGCAGAGTCTAAAGACACCTTTGTCACCACAAGAAGCTTGAGAGTGATCCAAAATCCATAGAAGAGAGGAGACTGAGAATGAAAAGGTAGACTAAAAGGTGTTCTTTACTCTATAAACACTTCTAAGTCTCGTGCGGTGGCCTTAGCCCAGTCTCTTCCGTGGCTTCGATCATTCTAGTATTCTTCTAAATAGCATGTTTTAAGGGCACCTGGCTTCCCAACAGCCTTATATCCCTTCACTATCTCATCCTGTTTACCACTACCTCTACTCTGGTGTTAACCAAAGGATCAACTTCAGTAATAGCAGGGTCTTATATAAAATAAGACAATGAGTTAGAGAAAAGCAATGAAAATGAAAATGGGTATTTGTGTGTCTGCTTATAAGACATTGGAAGGAAAAATGGCTTATAGAATACATCTGCGTCTACAGCAAGCAGTATTTACCAGTACCAGTACTATGTATGCTCTTACAAGTGGCACTACCATCCTGGGTGGCCTGCTCACTCACACAGCTGTAGCGTCATTCCACTGAGTGGCATAAAATCTATCTTTCACTTGCATCCTTGTTTCTTTACTGTAAATCTCAGCAATATACTTGAGAAAACACATTTTTAGAAATTGCTTTTGACTATACTATTCCAGAAATACACTATTTCTTGGTTTTTTGTTTTTTTGTTTTTTCCTCAAAAGGCATCTGTGTATAGGTATATGGAAGTCCAGCCTTCTTGGAGGACATACTTAAACACTTTGCTTTGAACAGGAGTCATTTTCTGCCTCTTCTTAGCTGATTGGCCCAGCCCTAACCTGGCAGAACAAAACACAGCCCTCGTCTCCCTCACGCAAGCTACTCTATTCGGATGAACGCATTAATACTAACTTATTAAGAAGCGTCTTCAAAATTACCATGTTCTTTGGGAAATAAAAATACAACAAATACGTTGCTTTCCTCTTCAAATTGAGAATATTTTCTGGACCTAATACTATACATATCAATATAACTTGTTATACAATGAGAATTATACACTTTTTTTTTACCATTTTTTGAGGATTTCATACATAAATACTACAACATAAATCCATAACACTTCTATCTTTCCCTCCACTTACCCCTTCTAACTCCCCCTTTGTTCACCCACTCCCTCTCAAATTATTTTATGGGTGTACACACATGTGTATGAATAAACACAATCTTCTGAGTCCACCCAATGTTGCACATGTGTGTGTTTGTGTGTGCTCGCGTGTGCGTGCCTGCATGTTTTAGAGCTGACTGTTGGTTTTGGGCCATATATCAGGGTCTTGTCCCTGACCCTGTCCTCAGGAGCTTTTAATTACCTATAGCTCTTCCTGTAGAGTTGAAGACTTGTGATATTTGGTTGCCTAAATGAGACCTCCACAGTAACACAACTAGCTGAGAATTACATTTTTGAGACCTCAGCTAATATTCCTTATTTGTCTACCTTTAAAAATGATATCAACTTCACTGAAGATCCTGGTCATGAGCCAAGACCCTATTTCCGTACTTTCGCTGTGTCATTCATTCATAATTAGAGTGATGATGCCCCTAGCTTCTTCCTTTGCTAGCAAACTATGCCAAGAAGTTGCTACCACTGAACTGAGCTCAGCTCTCACCAAATCCACAATTTTTTTTTACCAGTTTCGTGGTAAGCACCTGCAAGGCTGGCACCCTGAAAGACACGGCTGGGTAGTGTGGTGGCTCACTCAGATTCTAGATCCAGTTGGCTTGGCCTTTACTAACTAACTGAACATCCTTGATTAGGCCACTTAGCTCTTTCATCTTGCAGTTTTCTCATTTGCAAGATGGTACTTTCCTAAGAGGGATGTATGGTCTGAACGTGTACACACACAGTCCTTATAGCTCAGCCTGAGTCCTCTGTAAACGTTCACTTTGATTTTGCACTTTCTCTACCTTCCAAATGTTCCCATGATAAAGGTCCATTCTTCTCTTCTCACCTAGCCACTTTGCTCCTCATAGATTTGGGCATATCACGACTCTGCACTCCATTGAACAAACTTCTCTCTTTGCAAGAGTACAGCTGGTCACTGCTATATTCAGCCTCTGAGCCCAGCCACTTAATCCTCACGGGCCACGTTACAACACTGGTGAGCTTGGGTTATCTATAATGAAGGTCCATGTTGTCACGGTGGAAGAAGGGAGTTAGACTACAAGCGTTGTTTTTGGCCCCCTTGCCAAGTTGTGTCTTCTATGCCCTCATTCTGCCTTTCATCCTAATATCCAATGTCCTCTAAAATAGTCATCCTTCAGTTCACCAAGTAGTCCCTGCCCCTCCTTCAAGCTTAAATCCTGGCTAGCCAGTCAAGAAATTTCTGGGCAAATCATGTTTTTGGTTCACATTATGCACATTTCTCCTGAGGCCAAGAAGCCTTCATTTAATTATCTTAATGCATGGCTCAGAGAGACAAATCTCGTTCACAAACACCATCTGTATAAGGAATCCCAACCTTCCTGTGCCCAAACCCAGATCAGCAGCAGGAAGACCTAAGGGCGAACCAGCTCTCTCCACAGCCTGGGTTTCTCGGCCAAGAACTAGATGTTCCTGAAGATGTGTCCCTAGTCCTTCTGCCTCTGACATTTATTCCTCTGTGAATCAGCAGTAGTGGGCAGCAGCAAGGACAACAGGGGCCAGAAAGGCTTTTTTTCCTAAGCAGAATATGGCACAGAAAAAGATGGCAGCGCCTTGCCATCCTCCCTTGGGCGACACAGATCAGGACCCAACCTGTCTGCAGAGACTTCGGTTTTCTCCTCCCCCAGTGGTTGCAGTTCCTTTACAGTGTCTGTGGTTCTTTTCTGGAAGTTTCTGGCATGCTCTTACATGGTGAAAATCCTTGTGTACTTCCAGAGGGACAGCAACGCTCTTCTCTATCATATTTCCCTGTGCCTGCTCCTCAGTCTAAGGCCATGGTAATCTTCAGCGTGGCTTTTCACTTTAATGCCCATATTTATACAGCAATGACACCAACATCCTCCAGCCAGCTTCATGACTGAGGAGTTTTTCTCTGTCCTCTTAATCCAGGGGACACTTCATTACCCCTTATCCTCTGGTTCTAGTACCAATTCCTTTCTACAACATGGAATTTCAGCAGCACGCTTTCTTTCTGTATGCATTCTGTCAAGAAACCTAAGAATTCTTTTCACAACAGTCTAGACCTATATTGAGAAACAGTTCCTTCTATCATGACATGCAGGCTATATTTTGGACCTGTCCTTTGGGAAGAAGAGGGATGGTTGACACTGCCGTATACTATCCCCAAGGTGCCCATATTTTAGGGTGGGTTGAAACCTATATTATCTCTACTTTATGGGATCTTAGCCCCATTGACTATTCAACTGCAGTCTCCATCAGCTCAGAAAACAGCTACTTAAGCCTACTTTCTCTATTAAACCATCTCATTAAAGGCTTCCTCACTAGATAAGTTAGCACCGATCTCAAAGGCCTATAGGAATAGTCATTCACAGTAATGGTTGCACTGGGTTCCACCCCTTCAGCTTTAAAAGGTGAAAGAGCGAGGGGTGGGGGAGGTAGGGATGAAGGGGAGCCTCCTTCCTGGGTTTACCTGCCTTGATCTCAAAATTGTCTCTTTTTAGCCCTGCGCTGTGTTTAGAGCTTCTGTCCACTGACCTTGATTTAGGATCTTATTAGTGCTACTTATTTCTATGAATGCAAATGTTTTCTTTACTTTTTAAATTTCTAGCCTCTAAAGGACTAATTTAAAATTTACTAAATAGCAATATAATAATAAATATGTTTGTGATTTAGAGAATTTCTCCCCAAATAGTTTAAGTTGGTGGGCTGGGGATGTGTGATAATTTCCACAACCTGCCTTAAATCCCAGATATTTCTATTATTCTAATGAAAGCTATGCCATCTACCTATTCATGCTAACAAGAATTGAAGCCAACATGATTATTTGTTGCTGTGTCAAACAAGGCTGGAACAGGGATGTAGCCCTATTCTTATATAAAACAATGCTGAAAATAAGCTAAAACCAATTTCCTGGCCAAGACACCCTTGCTCAGAGAAGACTGTTCTCTCCTAAAAACAGATGGTGTAGGTAACACTTGAGACTCTCTTGAAGACCTGCCCTCACGATTCCCACCAGGTCTAAGCTATTAAGTACCAAACCGTAAACAGACTCAGCTAGTTGTCTATCACCAGATGAGCTCCGTCGAAACATCTTGGTCCTAAAAATCTAAGCACACCCTCTCCGACCCTCTTCACTTTAGCAACAGGTTTCCTGATGGTCTTTTGCAGAGTCAGTGGTCGGCACCAACCTCTTCTCGCCTGTGCTTTTCTTCTTTGGGGATGTTATCTGCTGGTGCTATGTCCCCAACGATGCACTCTGCCATGTCGTGAACCAGGGCTAGGCGTATACATCTGACCGGGTAAGAAATGGTGAAAAATTACACAAAATTACATTCACTACAAATTTCTTTTCCACACTATTTTCAAATTTAATAATGTGTTTTTTCTTTCTTCCCCACTCATAGAATATTTTAATACAACATTTTCTAAGGTAATTATATTCCACCAGCCTACACTAATTATGAACCAAAATTGCTTGTGAATATTTAACACAATACTTGAGCGTATAGCGCAAACTGAATTTTTCTTTTAATGGTTGATTGCATAATTCTCACTTTAAGAAGTTCCTAACTTCAAATTACAAAGCCAGGAAATGTTTTACTTATACAAAATTTAGAATCAATCATTTCCTCCAATGTCCTAGTGCCAAAATGATCTATACATAGGGTATTGGATGCATCTGAACAGAAAAGGCTTTGAATTTGGCTGCCGACCTTACTAGCTACAGGAAGTTTACCAAATTAACTTACTTAATTTAAATGCTTCCCTTTCCCACCCTTCGTTTTATAATGTAAAATGGGTAACAGGGACTTCTAGCTTATGGAGTATTGGTCTACCATTCACAAGGCCCTGAGTTTGATGCCCACCATCTTTAATAGGGTGTGGAGATATGAAAATTACATTTGATAAATCATGTTCTTGCTCCACATTGGTCATTTAACATGTGGCTTTGGTTATTAGTCTTCGATAATATTTCTCAGAATGACAGATACAAGTAATGAGGTAGATGCCCCAGAAGGATGGGCTGTTTTTCAGTCCCACTAATCAACAAGAGGCTTCAAAGCCTCCTAGGTTTCCCTGTCTCCAGTTTCTTTCTAGTCCAGTTCAAATATCAGACTGAGTTCATATCAAACTGACTTCACTTTTGTTTTGTGCTTTTTTTTTTCTGCCCCAAATCCCCCATGTTCCACACCATCTTCAGAGCAATAGGACTCCCTCCGCTCCCCAGGAACACTTTGCTGTAGTCAACCTGACTTCTGTTTTTCCAAAGTACATTGTACCCTCCCACCCACCCCACCCCATCCCAGGGCTTTGATTCTGGCTTCTCTGCATGGAGTGCCCTTTACTACTTCTGACCTGTGCCAACCCTTCAGAACTCACCTCAGCCACCATCTCATCCATGGAGACCAAATGAGAGCAGGCCATCTCCCCAACTACTAGAAAAACTGTCTAATTCCCTACCCTAATTATTTTGTGAATTTTATTGAAGCCATGTCAGGCCTGAGCAATAATTTGCTGTCTTCTATGTAAGCCTTTGCCCTGTGGGTTCTCAAGTACTTTAAAGGCTTGCTGATTAACTAAAGGGGGTGCCTCTCTATAGCATCTATATACTTTTTACCACACAACCTCAACAGCATGGCCTCGCTAATGGCTACCACTATTCATAAAAGCAAAATAAACACTACTGCAACCATAGCATTTTAAACATACCTTCAAGGCCCTAATTTCTCATTTGTTTCCACGGAGACCAACACACATACACTCTGTCGACTGTTGTTTACAACTGAAGGAATCCTCACAGAGTCCAGAGACCTTCGAAAGCATCACTGTTGCAACAACTTACCGATCCTTGTTAAGGTGGTCATCTCTGGTCACCATAGCCATAACTGCCATCCGATACATGTGATCTGACACACTCTCTGGCTTTTCCACATTTCTGTATACCCAGCCCGTCCGTGGGACTCTCTAATGAAGAAGATAAGGAATTAAACAGAAATCACCCCTGGAAACAACCACACAACCAACAGGGGCTCTTAAAGACAATGCCAGGGGATGGCCACAGATTCACTGAGGCCTGGTTTCAAACTTATTTTTAAAAATGCTTTATTTATTAAAACTAATAATGATCCACCTCTGAGATCAAACTAGTGGGAAAAATGCAATTCACAAGTAAAGTCCAAATGTCATCACTACGGGCCAAATACAAAGTTTTTAGAAATAAAAGCAAAACTGGTGATAAGCCTGGTGGTGCATAGCTGTAACCCCAACATTCAATAGGTGAAGGAGACCCGAGTTCCAGGCTGCCAGCCTGTGCTACCAACCTCTTCTCAAAACCAGTACTTTGTAGTTAGGAAAAATACAAAGCAAAGCCCTGCGTTTTTCTGAACTACAAGAACAGTGGGTTTTGCTATCTAGAAACCCATTTCACACAAAAAGAAAACAATAGAATGTTTTGTACATAAACATGTGACAGGCTACCCCATTCTGACCTAGAAGGACTGGAGGAATTTCTGTTTCGGTCAAGAATTTTATTCAGGACATGATGTGATCATGTGAGTCTGCACTTTCCCTGGGAGTTCAATGCTTCTAAAGAATTTCACGAACAGTAGTCACAGTTTCGGGGAACCGGTGATCTGGGGCTGTAGGAGACTCTGCACAACCTCTGCCAGGCGAGGGCTGGTGCACGCTGAAACTGTATTACAGAAATGGTCATGCCGGAAGTCCCAGCAACAGGGGAAGGTCTCCACTGCTCATGTGCAGGACTCCCTGCCTTCCGCTGAAGCTCGGCTGCATGGCTCACGGCCTGGGTAGTGGGGGCCAGGGCCAGAGCTGGCGGCGCGGGGCCCGGGACGTGCACGG